GTGATCAGGTTGATCATTCAATATGTGTTAATACTTGTAAATGTATTTTAGGCCTGCTTCCTTGTTTTTTTAACAGGTTTATATTTTTACAAAAGTTGCAAGTAGTTACAGTCTGCGGTCCCAGGATCTACTGTGAGTGTCGGGGAAAGAAAGCTTTTAAATCCGCTGCTCCCTCTACCTGGAACGCTTTGCAAGAAGACCTGAAAATTCAAGAGCTGGTCTCTTTAAACACTTTTAAAGAGTTCTTAAATGACTTGGAGGCAGAAAGATCAGTCTGTAGATGTTTTGACAGATGATTATTTTTGCTAGTTACGTCTCGGATCTCTGCTGATAGGTTGATTTCTTATCTTCTAAATTTAACTTCACCATGTATTATCAGTATGATGTTTGTGTGAATGCTGTTGTGGCCTCTGTCTGTCAATTGTGGTGCTGCCTGTGTTGGCCAGGACACTCTTGAAAAAGAGATTTTTAATCTCAGTGAGTCTTTTCCTGGTTGAATAAAGGTTAAATTAAAGTAATTAAAATTCTGGCATAAAGTCAGCAAGTTCAGACGTCTCCAGATTAATATAGGGATGCGTATCTCTCAAAGAAACTCCTGAAACCGTAATCTTGTTTGCTTTTTTTGTAAATATCACTGTATATATTGATTTTCTCTCAATCATCTACAAAAAATGCAAGTGTGTTTGCTTTTTGTGTTTATTTATCAGCGCAAACTTTGGTTGCAACTTTGATTATAATGAGCGCAGACTTTTTCACTGTGACGACTATAAAATTGAGACTGAATAAGTTTGAGAATTTAGGAATGTAAAAGTTTTGTAAAAATGTCAAACATACATGAATTGTAGTTTGGAAGCAAAAACCTGCAAACTTGCTTCTCTGTGAGACAGTTCATGACGACATGAAATCATTGTCCACCAACATATTTACTTGTCTTTGGCAGGTTATGACATGATAGGCAGCTTAAAAGCCCGGATAGAGGATAAGAAGAGGGATGAACACCTGGACATGACAGAGGAGAAGAAAGTGGGGAAGAAGTGTGACAGAAAAACAAAGAAACATAAACACAAGAGCACATCAGGAGAGCTCGGAGCTACAAATGGTTTGTCTGAAGGCTATGCTAGCAGAAGAGCGAATGAGGAGATCAGTTCAACATCCTATAGTGTACAACCTGATGGACTCTCTAACCAGCACTGCCCAGTTTCCCATCCTGCCTCAGCTGTAACAGCACCCAGTTTGCTCCACCTTCTGCATTTCACCCCTGAGGAATTAGCTGCTTCCCCAGGAATCGAAGCGGAAACCTTTCCAGAAATGGACTTCACAGAAAGTCTTCCAGAATCACACTGCAGCCACAAGTCGAGTCCTCGCCGTGCTGAGATAAAACTCGGTGCTTCTCCCCAGCCGACGCCAAGGCTTTCTAAAGAAGTCCCGTCAGATCATTACAGGAGAGGAAGTAAAAGCCCTGGAGAGGGTTCAGGAAAGTCACATCACAAGCAGCCCGTTCCCTCACCAAGGAAGCCCATGAATCGCTCTCCTGATGCTACATATTCAAGGACTCGTTCTGTCAGTGGAGTCGGGGCAGACTCCTTTAAATGTAAACAGAAGAATAAAGGTGGCGACAGAAAGCTGAAGACACCCAGAGGCAGGAGTCACGCTGCTGCAGTGGATGAATCCAGGTGAGTCGTATTCTGTTCACCACTTAATTCTATCACTGGCTTTCACATACAGCCTCTACTTTAATACATCTTGATTTTCCACTTCCAGAAAAGCATCTCTGAGTTACCACACGCCAGACTTCTCCAAAGTAGAACCCAAAGTCCACTTCCCCAAAGGTTCCTACAAACCCCCCAAGAGCAGACACTCTGTTACTAGAGATTCCCTGTCGCCTGAGCCCCCGTTGGTGTTTAAATCGCCGGCTGACATTGTGAAGGAAGTCCTCCTGTACACCGATGGATCTCCTGCCTCGTCAGACTGCGACGGATCACCAACCGCCGGCGCCACGAACTCTACCGTGCCTCTGGATTTCAGGTCCAAGAGAAATGCCACCACGCTGCTCGAACAGCTTCAGGTAGGAGTGGAGACTGAAAGGTGTTCCAGTCTGGAGGAGATCTTTAAAAACATTACCTGAAAAAAAAAAAAAAGAATAGAAATACTTGATGAATCCCCAAGAGGAAATGTGGTTGTTACAGCACAAAGAGTTACCACCACCATAAATACCGATAAATAAGCAAAAATGAACAATAAGAAAATATAAAATGCAAAATGTACAATAAGTGTAATATGTCAAGTAGAAAAGTCCTGTGTGAAGTGTAAAAAAAAAAAAAGTAGTGTGGGTGCAGAGTGTTTCAGAACTGGCCAGGATAGTAGGATGGCATCTGAAGAAACACAGGAGTGGTTCAGCCTTAATTGGTTTTAATTTTAAAAGTTAGAAAGTCTCACAGGAAAATTTAAAAAAAAGAATAATGCAAGAACAATAGTGACACAAGATCCTAGACTTTGATGTTGCGGTGCAGAAATTTGAACAATAAAGTTGTTGGGGTTGGAAATTTTTGGCTGTACCAAAATGTGTTTTATTTTTCTTTTGCTTGCAGACTGCTGAAGCTTATAGGGAATCCAAATGTTTTGGATTGTTGGGTGTTTCTGCCTTTGTTAAGCGCTATGAGATGACTTGTTGTTGTAAATATGCGCTATACAAATAAAATTGAATTTAATTAAATTTGAGCCATTTGCGCCCCTAAATATGTGATAGCACAGGGCCCAGAGTTCAATCATGAGTTAGAAGACTTGCAAAATGAAAAAAATACATTTTATAACAAATAAATAACAAATAATAATAATAAAATATTCCCTCCTACTTGTCCAGAGACAGCTCAGCGTATAGGAGCAACCAACCAAAGAAATGCAGTGAGAAAAGCTTTATATCACATTATGTTAAGGGACTACATGTTAGTTTTATTGTCTTAACTAGCTATGATGCCCAGGAAAAGCTATAGAGGATGTCCTAAAGTGTCTTGATGTGAATTTTCCAAATAAAAGTCTCATACCTTCATTTCATTTTTTGCAGGGACAGAGCAAAATTACAAGTGTTTGTCCCTGAGCAGGAACACAATAAAACATCTACATAGCAATAAACAGGGACAAAACAACACAAAACCTAACATGTCCATCAGTGAGATAATAAATAGAATCAATTGGTGGTTCAGGTCAAACTGCAAAGCCTCCTGAGTGTCTAAATGTTTGTGGCGATGTGATTCAACTCCCCCCACTGCTTTTATTCTTTCATTTTCAGTGTCAAATTAGGCCTCACATCTAAAACAAAGTGCCACCCGCAGCTTGCAACCACTTCTCCTCCACCATCGTTCATTCCCAGAGGCAGCAATTACAGCAGCTGTTCCACTTTATATTCTCCTTGTTTCTGTGGCAGCGCTCGGGTCAAATAACAAGACACAATGTACCGAGCAGGCAGGTACGCAGGCTGCACACGAGTGGAGCTCAGTTTTTATATTAAGTGCGTTGAAGAGCTTTAAATGAGTTTACGGCTCCACGAAGAAGGAAGAGGATTAAATTAAATGTAGAAGTGGAAATCAACCATAAACAGTAATTGCAGTAACTGGATTCCAGTGAGTCTCCTTTCTGTTGAAGTCTTGGAAGGTGGAGAGATGTTCTTGTTTTAAGGTGATCAGTATTATCCTGCCCTGGTGTGTTCTGGCCCATGTTGATCAGTATACTACAAAGACTTAGACTAATGTTGATATCTAAAATAGATTACTATGGCTATAATAACACTGAATGATTTGTAATATTGGAGGAAAAATACCTGCAGAAACAACCATGACAGTACATGTAGCATCTCAGGTTTATTTGTAAAAGAAAATGGCATTACATATTAAAATGTGAGGCTGTTTGAACGACAATATCTCAGGAACTATTGAAGATAAAATCCTGACTGTTATTTCTCATTATGTCATTGATTCAGAATCTGCAATATTAGACCAGCAGATCAAACAATCTGTAATTGATGAATGAAAAAAAATTGAAGATTTCATGAAAGTCTCATCTTTGAGCCCATGTTAACAAACACATTAATAATACAGAAGTGAGCTAATAATACAAAACATATAGAATACTTTTTATTATGAAATACTTGGTCAAAAAATAAGAAAATAGATATTTTTGTTGAACTTTCTTAAATGATTAAGCAGGTTTGATCAACTATAGCATAAAAACAAAGGTCCTGGTAGATAGCTTTAGTTCTGGAGTTTCATTGTGGCTCTAAAATTATAAATAAACCCACTTAGTTCTTTAATTTTCCAAATATCTTTATAAATAGCTATATTCAGTGCTATAACATTTTGAGTGGTGGAGCAGAAATCCTTCTAAAAATCCATGTTTAGATTCTGATCTATCTTTTCTTTACTTGTGGTTGTTTATCAGAGATTTCGATTGGAAGTGGCCAATGCATTTAGACAGTAGAAGTAACATATTAATCACTTTCCAGGAATGGATACGCCTGGATATTGGGAGTGTCATCTTTAAAATGTGCTTTGTACTGCAGAACACTGTTGTCTGAAATATTACTGTATGCTGAAGGCGACCTGAAGGAGCCAAATCCATAAAAACAAATCAAAAAGTACACAGAAGTTTGCTCACTTTAGAGGTTCTCTGTTCGTTATCGACAGCCACACAATATGAATTATACCGAGCAGTACCTACATCCTGCTCCGTTCATTCAGTCCCTTCCCTTTGTTGCGTTCCTCATTTTCTTTTTCATTCATCTTTTTTTTTATGTCCTCTTACATTCTTATTTCCTCTCGCTGCAGGAAGCCTACAACAGTCTGCTGACTAAGTACGCCGAGGCGGAGAACACCATTGATCGTCTGCGTCTGGAAGCCAAGGTAGTTAATCCAGAGATCCAGCTGTAATTTATCACCTTTTAATGGTGTGCACCGGTGCGGGGTTTTAAAAAACAGCACATATCGCTGCCACGCAGATTTATTGCCGAGCTCACTTTTAAGTCACTATAACAGATCCAAGTTAATAGAAAGCTTCAAAATGATGGACAGTTTATTGTCTTCAAATGTGGGCATTCTTATTGAGTTATTGAATTAGTTTTCAGACAGAGACGGTTCATGTGTAAATACCTGAAATGCTGAGTCACCTCAGCAATGATGCAGCTTTCATTACGTAATGGAACAGCTGTGGAAGCAGTATGACTTTCATAATAGAGGTTAAAGTTAAGAGTCACGTGAGCCAAACATGTCAGAGATGCCAGTCTGATCTATTCACTGTTTGTTTAAACAATTTTCATGCATTCATTCATTTTGTCTCGTGTGTTTTTATGAGAGACAGACTTTGTGAAAGCAGAGACGACATCAAACAGCTAAAAGATGTTGTGTGAGAAAAATATAAAGTATGTAAAGTAACACATAACCTACTCAAGACCAGAGGCCTGTGCTACGAAGCAGGGTTTAAGGTAGCTTCAAGTTTAACTTCCGGTTTTCAGGAACGTTAAAACACCACCTACTTACCATCAGTTTTCTTGGAAAATAGCATCTGCTTTCCTGGAAGGTCCTGTGGAGCTCAGTGTGCAGCTAGTCAGAGAGGAAGATAAGAGTTTATAGAGCTGCAGGTGATTTCAAGCTCTTTCATGTGCCTTTGTGATATCATCCTAAAAAAAAAAAATGATTAAAACACCAAAGCTTTGAACTTCTGGACTTTATTAGATTTGCAATAGATCTTAGAATAAAACGTATTAGTTTGAAAGATGCTTTTATGTGTTTTCGATCCCAAAACCGTTTAACATCAACAAGCAGCTGAAAGAATAAGACTGAAAGTGTGTTAAGAATGAAAACTAGTGAATGTGAGATTTCTAAATTCATTCTGCACATTGCCATGAAAATAGTTTTATTACTTGATCATGTATCTGGTAAATAATTTGTCTTTTTTTTTTTGAGTGGCATCAAAGGACTACACCTGTACTCTTGTTATGCAATCTTGTGCAGGATTATAATTAAATTGTAAGCATATATAAGCAATGTCTACACAAAATGGAAGTGATAATAATAAGTACACGCTCACACAGTCTGCAGTTTATTGCAGTATTATGTAATTAAAATCATATTACAGTGTACTCCTCATTTGTGTCCTGGCCATGTTTGTGGTTGTCATCTGGTTCCAGCTTCTCCTCTTCTATGTCTACAAGGATATAACAACATTCAGAAAACCCTTGTTGACTTACAGAGTTAATAAAAAGCTTCCTGACAGCCCTTATCCCTGCTGTGGCTGTCAAGTTTAGTCAAGCCATATAACCAAATGACATCCAGGATTTGTTGAACTTGGTTCATAGTAAAGAGCTCAGATTCAAATTCAAGCTCCTCCTAAATAAACCACAACAAATGTCCAGATATTCTGTACCTGCTGTGTGATACAGTTCCTTCATAAAGTACAAGAGAAAGAGGCAGAGATCTAGTATAGATAAGTTTTAAAGGGTAAGAATTTACATTGTGCCATATAACAAGCTAAGCTGTTCGACAGAAGTATAAAATAAGAATATAAAATAAATGTAGAAATGGAAGAGGCCTTCATCACATCACCTGAAAGTTTACTGAGCAGCACTTTTGTAGCTCAGTGTGACGACAGCCTCCTAGTTATGCTTAATTTTAAGCTTTAACACAACTAAAGACAGGTGAGTTTCATAAGTATTCATCCCACATACACCTGTCATGAACATTCATTTTCCAGCCCAGGACTTCACTGATTAATGAGATCAAATGAGCAGCATTAGAGTAATTAAACGGTCAAAAAGGTGAGTGCAGGGTCTGAGGAAAACACAGTTTTTAAGGTATGTTTATAGAATATAGTCACAGATTTGGCCTTTAGTATTTCTCAGTGTTTGTGTTTTTACTTCTACACTTTATTTATTTCCACAGGACAGAATTATAGAGAACGAGCATCGCAGGTCCAGACAGCGTCAGCACATCACAGACAGAGCAGTACGTCAGGATGATTAGGAGTCTGAGACTTACACGGAGGGGAGACAGCAGGAGCGTTCGAGTGCTGTGAAGTAGCTCCTTTAAAGAATTGTTGGCCCATTTCTGCTGGAGCAGCGCCGCTCCACAATCAGCGCCAATTAAAATCAGCTTACCGAGCTCCCCACCTCTCCTCCATCTCCTTCAGCACAAACACTGAACCGCCATCTGTCTCCCTCTGCACAGTTACAGCAGCAGGACAGGCTTTAACACTGGAAATATACCGTCAGATCCAATAGAGGGAGGTTTTGCTGATGTTTTTAATGAATGAATCCTGAAAAAAAAGCGGTTGCACTATCTGAGATGAGTTTTAAAACAAAAGTCCACCATCTTTGATTCAAGAAATACTAAAATATCCTTAATAATGATAAAAAATAATGATATTTGATGCAAAATTGCAAATTTAACCTTTCTTCTCTCTAGTCAGATATATATTCTCGTATATTTCATCTCCACTCCTTCAGTTTTTCAGCTTATTTTATGTTTTTTGCGGCTCAATTTGCATCCAGTTGATAAAAGATGTGATGATTCCGATCTGAAATGAGGTTATTAGGTTGGCTTATATATCTCTCTGATGCATTTTCTTCTTTCTTAACTGTGTAATGAAGTGGCTCTCTGGGTGAAATACAGCTCGCGACCTTTTCTGTGTGTTTTTTCTCGTACCAATGTGTCTGCTGAGGTCAGTTTAAGGTCGTCGTGATTCATTGCTGAAGGCTTATCGGGGAGGAGCGTTTATTCATTCTCATTCATTCTGCGTTTGTGTTAAATGAAAGGGTGGTGCAGCGTGTGTTTAACCCCTTTGTGTCATCGTCCAGTTTAAATTCAGCGTTAACAGGCAGAAAACTTGCCATTTTAGGACACTAGATGGGGATGTTGTTCAACCAGACGGAGCGATACATCTGACTAAAATAGTCTTTAAAGTCGTTGAAGTCACCATTTTGATGGAAAATATGTCAAGATGTCACCAAAATTGAAGTTCAGCTGTAGACAGATGGGGTGATAACTGCTGATAACATATAGATCACGTGTGTTCCTACTTTTCATGCGTCCACCAGGTGAACCTGTACTCAGATCCTCCAAAGCCGGGTCACTCTGTGCAGGCAGGACTGAACCACGACGCCTCAAAGCTCATAAAACTGGATTTTCCTCAGGCTCAGAGAGCAGAGATCAGCTCATCTCTTCATCCAAATGGACACAACTCTCATCAGGGTATGTTTGTTCCATTTAATATTTCATTATAGATCAAACATTTAGCTTTACCTAACAATGTGACGTCCTCAGAAACTCAAAAAGAAATCAGAAAACGACCAATATGCAATGTAAGGCACGATACTTAGACACTAAACAGAAAGTGCTGAGTCACACGTATACCAGCTACCAGTTAAATAGCTTCTAGAGCTTCAGCTGCTGCTTACGTTGCATCAATGTGTTATAAATCTTTCTTCATGTAACTTGTGTCTTTTAAACAGGAAGTTCAGCTGCCTGTCGGTCTCCCAGAAGTCCGGTTCCTCAGCTGGGACAGCAGCTCGCCAGTATTCTCTTCATTCAGACTGACAAGTTCCTCCAGCAGGTAACCAGTCTTGTAAAACTCATCAGATTCCTTCAGATGATTGATGATGGAGGTTCAGGACAGTAATCAGATTGTTTCTTTACTTCAGCTACAGACTTTCGAGCATCTCCTGAAGAGCGAGAAACTCAAACCGTTTGAGCAAATTGAGGTGAGAAGAAGTAACGTACAGTTTAAAGACGACTCCTTATGATCACTTCCTGTCCAGTGTAATGAACTGATGCTTTTCTTCAGGGTCTTGCTCAACTCTCCGAGGGGCTCGACTCTTTAGAAAGAGGCTACCTGTTGGCAAGGGATGAGCACAAAGTCCTGCAGCAGCGAGGCGTAGAAATCAGCCCCTTTGACCCTGAACGGTAAGCGTCACGTCCAGAATACAGTCATAGCTGTAGATTTAACGTGTTGTATTCATGTGGAGTGCTGGTTTAGTTGTTTTACTCGGTTGGTGGGTTCATGTTTCAGGGAGCTGGAGGGGCTGATCTTTCAGTGTGGGCTGAGAATGGATGAACTGAAGGAGCAGGTGGAGCAGATGCGACGGCAGCAGCCGACCTGCGAGGCTCCAGCGACTCCACCTCCTCGACCCACCGCCTCATCTACGTGTTCTACAGCAGGAGAAATCCTGGTTCATCCACAGGTAGCAGCACCAGCAGTTATTCTGCAGTTTAATGCTCTGTTCTGCTGAACATCTCTTTATATTCACTGTAACGCTGTAAGTGAACAGCTTCAGTGTCTTCTTTTAAATCACTTCTTAAAATTGTATTTATAGACTTGCTTTCTGTTTTTATTTTTTAATATTATTTTTATCGTTTAATTGATTTTTTAAAAACTTTATTTTGTTGTTTCAACCGTTATTGATTTACTTATTTTACGAATTTACTATTACTACTATTATTATAATTTTCAGCCTTGTGTTTACGGTTTTATCCTCTGTTTTCTTTTGTTCCACTATTTTTTCCCCCTTTTTTGGATGCAGCATTTTATTATTTTGTCCGGTGTTGTTGTACTAATTTATTTTGAAAATCTTTTACCATGTTTGGACTGAGCAGCCTTCTGTTGTTCAATGTTCTTCCTGAGTTTCCTTCTGTTCTTTTATACCCTCTCTGTAAAACACTTTGTAAACTCTGTTTGTAAAAGCTGCCATATAAAGTAATAATAATAATAATAATAATAATATGTTATATATAACTGGATATATGATGATAATGATAATAATAATAAACGCATTTTTCTTATTCTAGAAACTTCTACAGTTACGGTGCTACTGATTGTAGTAATTCTGAAGAAAACAGAAATATAAGAGAAGGTCTATATATGTAGATGTTATATGCCACAACATACTGTCTATTATTTGAATAATTTGACCATTTTTGGTCCATGAAGATACACTCCAGCTATAAAAAGACCAAGTGTTGTATAATTATTTGACTTCCTGTCCTCCCAGAGCCCACCTGAGCCTTCGCCGGTTGATCCTAGTGACGCAGCACGAGTGGAGGTGAGCTCAGCCAGCAATGAGAGCGACGAAGACGAGGCAGAGCTGGACGATGAAGAAACTCTGGACTCTCTCTACCTCAAACCTCCAAATGGAAAACTCAGATGTGTTGAACAAGACTTCCCCGTGACGGTTGATCAGTGAGTGGTGATGTTTATGTTTTAAAGCATTTATTATTTTTAAATCTCACACGCCACAAAAAAATAATAATGCATCAGACACAAAAATCCACCAATCAAATGGAAAATAAATAATTTTTTGTGTTTTTTTTTTTTCCTTAAACAATAGTGACCTTTTTAAAATACCTTTAAAAGGTTAAAATCGGGAACAAAATGAATTCATATTTGGTAATTATGATCAGGAGTGATGTTAGTTAAAAAAATCTAACTCAAAGTGGACGATAAGATTAATATATATTTTATAGGTTTTTTTGACAAAGACCCAAAGAGCTCATACGTGAGGGTTTTTTTTGTTTCTATCTGATCCTGCATGAAAACAAACATACTTTGGAATCAGTGTTGTTGCTAATCATTGACCTATTCCAGACTGTGATCATTTTAAAAATTCTACTTACTATAATGCAAAATCTGTCATTTCACATCATGTTTTCTTAAAACATAAAAACATAAAAGTGACATCAAGCAAACAAACTTTCATTTAAAGGATTAAAATCATGAACATTAAGGATTGTTTGCAAGTTATGGGCAGAACTGAATTGAACCGTAGATGATATCTGAGGATTTTTCATTATGGAACACTAAACGTTTCTCCTCTTTCTGTTCAGCTACCAAAGCTTCAAGGAGCTTCCCAAACGTCTAGATCACAACCTGAGAGAAAGAGTTCCCCCATCAGCTGCTTTAAAAACTGACATGCAGCCTGAGGACAAGAGGGACGAGAGACTCGGTCAAGAAACCGAAAACAGCGACATCTGGAAGACTCTCCCACTGAGGTGAGTCTTAACGAGTTTCATCAGCAGCACAGGAATGTTTGTTTGTTCACTCAGCTGCTCTGAGATGTTGCTGTGTTTCAGAATGTGTTCTTTCCTCTACAAATATAGTTGTTTTTATATAATCGCTTCTCTACTAGACACTGATTTTCCTGTATGTATGTAATTTAGTTTCTAAGCAATATCTGGAAAAAGAATTTTGTTCAGGATTAATAAAATTTTTTGTTTTGGATGGTAACGTAATACTGATGTTTAAGGTGCCTTTTTTTGATAAGACAGAAATGAGAAATGTGCAAACAGTTGGCATGTTTGTTGAGAAGCTAGTTTTACTGGATTAATAGACTCAATTTTGCTTCTCTGTTGACAGTAAATCCAATTCAGACCATCCAGACTCTCCTGCTGGAACCAGCAAACAGTGGAGCAGCAGGTCCAGTCCTCTTTCATGCAGGGCCTCCAGCCAGTCCAGTAGAAGGAGGCTGGAGCTGAAGAAGTCCCACAGCAGCAGCCTGAGCAGCCTGGGAGATGTTCCTGCAGCAGAGAGGAGGAGCTCTAAGGGTCTGACTGGGAACAGGAGGGCACTTTCTCAGGTCAGTCATGTTGTAAACTAACAGAGTCAGTCATTGATCCTGTATTGGTTCCATTCAAAACCGCGGCAGTTATGTCATTCTGAGTTTGATAAAAATATAAAATATATCACCTTACAACAAATTATTCCTAAAAAGATAGTAACAGTAGCAGTGGTTATAAGGTAGTGGCTTTCATTATGACTTTGGCCGTATTGTGGTAATGAAAGAGACACCATTGGAGGAAAATCTGATTTGTAGACATTCACGTTAAAAAAAACAATGATTTCTGTGTTTGTGAGTGAATCACATAGACCATATAGAAATGATGCTCGTAGCCTGCAGGTCTGAAAAGTGAAGCTGATGTGGAAGTGAAACCTGCATTCTTACCAGCAGCCAGCAGGGGGCGATGCCTCCAGTTGCTAAAATAAATCCAGTTGCATCGAAGTCTATGAGAAAAGTAACCTCAGCAAAAGTTTTCCTAAAGAGTTTATAGTCTCAATCACTGGAATAGAAAAGACCATAATAAGTGTATGTTTTAGGGCGGGACGGACTTTTGATTGGCCTCAAAACTGTCGTCCACAAACCAATGTGTGACGTAACAGTGACTCCATCCTTCTTTCATGTGTAGTCTGTGTTGAAGTGATAGCACAGAGCTCAAACCACATAAGCAGTGCACACCTGCATACTGTCATGATTTGATTCCAAAAAAAAGTATTCTTTCAACCTCTCTGGGTTTTTTAGAGAAGTTACAATGCACCAGTGAACTAAAAACATCTCCGAAGTAATTAATAAGGATATGGGATGTATTGATTCCACCAAGACAGCTGCATTATATTATATAAATGTAGTGTCCTGTGCTTTGTGTTGTTCAGGATGGGATCATCTCTCCGGAGACTGACAGCGGGTTTGTTGGTTCAGACAGCAGCCGACTGACTCCTGCAGCAGCTGCCAGTCCTCTCCAGCAGAGGGCCTCAGAGAGGTGAGGAGAAAACACCACTTTATTTACTGCACCATAAATTTCCCCTCATGTGCCATCCCCCACCATGTAACACTCACTGCACAGTGACGTTTTCTCTTTCTGAGTGTTTCTTTTAAAGTCTATTTTCTCACTGGTCGTCTGTTTTTGTGTGTTTCAATCTTCTGCAGCGGCGCTTCGGTGCCTCAGGATGGGAACTCTGGAAGGCCTCAGACAGGCCCGGGCTCCACCACACCTCCATCTACATCACATCGTCGAACAGCCGCAGAGCCCAGAGTCGACTCCCAGGACCAACAAGGAACCGGACCGGGACAGAGGAGACGCACCTTCTCCTGCTCTCCACAGAACTGGATCAGTCAGAGGGAACGAATGCCGGTGGACAGTGTGCTGGAGAGTGACGGCAGTGAGTCTCCAGTTTGCATCCAGTGACACTAAAACCTGATGTTCTCTGTTATTCACGAGTGTTTCCTTTTATTTATTTGTTCAACCTGCCGTCCTCGTCTCGTCTCTGCAGCTCACACTGGCTCTGAAGACACCGACGGCTACTACAGATCCATCGACTCCCTCCACAGCTCCAGCTCCTCCCCGGCTGCTCGGTATCACCATGGCAATTCTCAGGCGGCAAATTGCGAGTGAGTAGTGAGTGAGTGCGGCAGCTGCTGCCATGGCGACACTGTGCAAACAAGGCCACGTTTACGTCTCCCTGCAGAGACTCCTGGATGGGACTTGAAGTGAACGAGTTGCATTATCACAGAGTGCAGGATGTTCCAGAAAATATCGTGTCCCTGCTGCTATGAATCACACACACAATGATTATTCCAATAGTTCCTGGAAGTGCTTGTTTATTGTTTCCATTATCATATTTTTATTACAGAATCTGCCACTATTGAATGAAGTTACACATTAGGAGGTACTCTGCTGTGGTCTGCATGGTGTTGTGTTGCATGGTTCCCTTCACAGAGTGTGTTATTACATTACAAACTCACCTCTCCTGGACTTCACGAGTGTTTGACTTTGCAACTCGGTGTGACGAGGAATAACTCTGATCTCTAACTGGGAGCTTTCTTCTGATTTTAAACGTACGCTTTTCTGTCTTTTAGTGATGCAATCCAGACTCTGGAGGCTGAAATTACCAAACTAAAAGAGAGACTGGAAAGCTGTCTGAGGAATAAGAAACCTCTGAGCTCTGTGAAAGCAGCTCCAGAGAGCCCTGCACCTCAAGCCAGGTTGGTTTTTATCCCTGCAAAGTGCAACCAGACAGTTCAATCTATGTGAAGCAACAAGAAAAAGCTTAACATTAACTGAGCTGTATACACACATACTTGACTAGTTATCTCCCTTTTTAATGTAATTTTAATCAGATTTTTTTTGTCACTGCTCAGGTCTGTGGAGCAACAGAGGGAAGCCAGTGGTGGAAGAAGAGAAACACAAACGGTTGATGAGGTAGAAGATGAATCTGTGCTGAGACGAACGACCAGATCAACTTCTGCACAAAGACTAGAGCCACAACACGACATCTGTAAGTTCAGCTTAACCTGACAGTAGACTATAATCCAGGCTTTACTTCTTGCACCTACAGTAGATAAAGGTGCAGAAAAAATGGTTTCTAACATACAAACATGAGTCTTAAGACGTTTCATACAAGGGGATGTAAAACCAGAGCATCTCCGATAGTGAAGCTGTGTATAAACCTTAGACACAGTAGAAGCTATCGGAATTTTCGGACTATTGAGCGCACCTGAATATAAGCCGCACCCACTAACTTTAAAAAGGAAAACTAATTTGTACATATAAAGGCCGCACTTGTCTGTAAGCCGCAGGTGTCCACGTTGTAACATGAGATATTTATACAGAAAGGTTTTTTTAACTTTAAAATAAATACATACCAGTAACATACACAAACACATACCGTAAATGCTTTTTTTTCCCGAACAGTGCCTGTAACACGGCTGGTTATAAAAATAAAAATACAGTAGCCTACCAGGAGAAGTCACTGATCACTATCTTCATCTTCCTCCTGCGCACTAAAACCACTAAAGTCGTCTTCTTCAGTGTCGGAATCGAACAGCCTCAGAATCACTTCATCACACACTTCCTCAGTCTCTCTTTCGTTGTCACTTTTATCTCGAGTCAGATTCGGAAAAATCATAAAAATCCATAAATTAGCCGCATCATTGTTTAAGCCGCAGTGTTCAAAGCGTGTGAAAAAAGTAGCGGCTTATAGTGTCAAACTGATGCTTTGATCCTATGAAAACTTAACACATCCAACCTTTTTGTTTTCAGTGAGAAGGTCAGAGCTGGACTCCTCCCCTCCTCAGCCTCAGGTGTCCAGATGTACGCAAACATCTGCAGCAGCAGACGACCGCCATCGACGCACAACATCAGTCCACAGCAGGAGAACACAAACCCGTAAGAACATCTGTCAGTCCACTGGAGACGTTTAGTGTCCTACTGACGGAACAGAAGCCCTAAATGAATTCAAAGCACAGATAAAACACTGCAGATTTCTTTTTGCAAATGGTTTCTGGTCCACTTTACAGATAAACTGACTGCAGGAACCAGCCCTCTGACTTGGGTTGCCTCTATAATGACATATATTCACACTAGTTTCCCTGCCTCTAATAGAAGAACCAGTTAGAAATACATGATGTTAAATAAACTAAGATGTCTTTCAGAGTGTTTTGTCCTCTGAACGTTCAGTGTGTTTGTGTTGCAGGGCAGCATCCTGTCGCAGCAGACGAACCTGACAGCAGGAGAAGTCGAGCTGCTGTTTGTCCTCAGTGTTTGTCGGGTCGCAGAGGACGAACTGAACGTAAGAAAACTGCTACCGAGCGCACATTTGTGGTGGAATCTAGCTAACTGTTAGATTTATGTAAAACCAGCGCTGCAGCCGTCCTGCTCGTGTTGTTGATCAGCCTCCTCTGTGTTCTCAGGTCCAGCTGGTGGCATCAGAGAGTCGACTCCTTCGTCCTCTCGCTGTCATCACTGTCCTCTCTGTGGACGCCTCGAGCCCAACAGATGCTCAGAACCAGGTTAGAGTTCTCTGTTGTTTCTGTAAACTGCAGCGTTTGCTCTTTGTTTGGTGACAACAACAAAAAAAAATAAGTTTGTTGTCGAGTGTCAGCAGCACACTTTTCTGTACATCCACCGCTGCTCAAACGATGTGAGTCTGCAGTGAATGAAGCAAGTTTAATTAATGGATTCTGCTCTGTGATTCACAGACCGCCGCAGACACTCGGAGTCTCCCGACAGAACGACGAGCAGAAGATACTTCACAGCTTCACCGGCGCTGCTGGAGTACCGGCCGGTCTGCCCACCACAAGTCCTGTAAGCAACCCGCTCTCAAATCATGAAGATCATTCACAGGTTTCTGTCCAACATGAACATTAAAGTAACGGTTTGCAAACATAAACTCATTTCAGACGTCACAGATGAGTGTGAAACGTTTGGAATTACTTGATTTTCAGGTCATAAAACATAATTTGATCTTCGTCTAAGTCACAAGTGCAGACAAAGCCAGTGTGCTAAAGCTCTGAACAAGCAGTTATCATCGTTTATGTCTTTATTGTCACTCATCAAACGTTCCTGGTGGAAACAGTAAACGAACCTGTCTGAGGCTTCTCTGGAAGAAACTTCTCATAGCTGCAGATCAGCTCCAAACTGCAGCGCTTCTTAGTTTTAATTCTGTCGGAGATGTTGAGGGTCCCTGTCTGACTTAATCCAACTCTTTTTAAGCCGATGGAGAGTCACCACAAAGTTACATCATTTAACTGTGGACTGAGAAATATTTAAGATTACTTCATAACCCATGACTTTATGTAAATCAACCACTCTTGATGGTAAGATCTCTTTGTTCAATCCGTTTTTCTGTATGTGCTAAACATGTAGAGACACTGATGATACAGTTCACTGTCGCTTTAACTTATGGTTTTTATAATACTTTAGTTGTTTTAATGTCAGAGGAGCTCCAACCTCCACCTTTATTTATTTGCAAACTACACTGTGAAGGTGAAAAACATTACAGATTCGTGTCCTATTAATTCAAATCAGTTGTTTATAATTGTAACTTGAACGGAGATCTGACAATATTTCAACATATTCACACACTTTGCAGATATTTCATAGGATTTACTCACCTTTATGTGTCACTGTGTGTTTTCTACTCTGTCACGACTACGTCATTTTTCACGACACACTATACGATGACGTTTTGGCAACATTTTGACGACAAACTATGCAATGACATTTTGGCGACATTTTTGATGACACACTATACGATGACATTTTGCAACATCTTGACAACTTCCTACACTGTAGAGCTGCACACGACAAACATACTGGAAAAGTGTCTAAACTCAGTAAACTCAAAGACGTCCACACGTACTAATGCTGTAGATGGAGATTAAATCATTACCGTTCGTGAAAGAACTTAACAATAAACAACGCTAGAACTAATCATTTTTTACCGTCTCCTCAGGTTGATCCCGTCGCCCCTCTATGTGTCTCCGAACACCAGCACTGGATCAGCGGTTGGAGGCAGGAGAAGACGCTCGCTGTCGGCCGACAGACAGCTCTCGGTGGACGGTTCCCTGAACAGAGCCATCAGAGCAGCTCGAACCATGAAGCACACCTCCAGAAACATGGCTCGATCTCTGGCCTCCGGGCTGCAGTACCAGGAGCTGCTCACTCAGTCCTGCAGCTACTAGACTCAACTCGACTTCACAGGCAGCTCAGACTGAAATCACCAGTTCAGCTGCAGGATGAGGCTGTTAGCAGGAGCCAACAGAACTGAAGGAAGGACCAAAGTGAATAAAAGGCTAAAAAACTTCTCTTCGTACATTTTTTTTTTGGTTCCTCTATTTTGGGAAGGACTGTTGTTTACGGATTTTTTAAAAATGTTTTTAAAGGTAAATTTTTATTGTGTATCTCAGGTAGTCAAACTTGAATCGGCTGCATAATATTCTTCTAAAACGATGTTTAGGTGTGCATTAACACAACGACTCAAACAACACAATACTGTAGATCATGCTGGGTTTTAAACCCACAAGATGCTGTAGACAAACGTTTTCATGTCCATCAGCAGACGTGACGTTCAGCTGACCTGATGTTGTCATTGCTTAGCGCTCTATTTCGAGCTATTTATTAATAATGTGACTTATTTTCTATTTGTAGAAAATAACTTCAGTGTTACTTTAGTTGCTGTAGAAACGTTGATGTTGTCACGGTGAGATTTTATGCTGTAAATGAAACGCACTCGTTCTTGCAACTGTTGTGATGAACTCGGCTTTGGATGCTTGAACCTTGAGATGCTGGATATCCTCAAACTTACTATGTTGTTCATGTCATTTTATATTTGTAAATTGTGAAGTTTTTTACATTTTGTACAGTATTTCATAAGCTTGCAGGTGTGCTTTATCCAAGTAGGACTCTGTTGTTACTGTTTACCTTCATATGGCTGAAATGTTCACACATCAGGACTGCAGAGATGAAGACTTTTAGCATCCAGTGTGATTAAAAACATACGACCGGCAACACAGAGGAATAAAACTATTTAAAATACTGCATTATCTTTCATTGTCATCTAGAACGTTCTCATACTTTACTGTTAGCTTTTTAAAGACATACAGTTAAAACCAGAAGTTTACATCCACTGTATAAACAGACTTAAAACCTTTTTTTTTTTCTCACTATGTGACATTAAATCAGACTAAACTTTTCCTGTAATGGGCCAGTTAGGATCACCAACATTAAAAGTGACACATTGTGGATGGATTATTTAATCACTGTTGACGTGGATATTTTTGTTTTGGTTTTTGCGCTGCATGGAGCCAATGAGGCCCATTATTCATGTGACATATGATCGAGGGGTGTCATCCAGCCTGAGATGACACACATGAGAGATGTATGATATATGAGATATATATCTGAAAGATCCAAAAGACTTGAATACTTTTGTTTCTTGCTTCTCCCATTTTATCACCTGAGCTCAGTCTCTGCTGATGTATCATCCTCACAGAGCCCTTCGCCCTCAGACTGCAGGTCTACTTGTGGTTCCCAGAGTTTCCAGAAGTAGAATGGGAGGCAGAGCTTTCAGTTATCAGCTCCTCTCTTATGGAATCAGCTCCCAGTTTGGGTTCAGGAGGCAGACATCCTCTCTACTTTTAAGGT